AACAAAATTTTCGAAAATTAAGCAATGAAAGCAAAGATTCGGACCAAAAACGCCATTGCTATCACCATCATTATCGTGACCGCAAGTTTCATCATCAGTGGGTACTTCAACATCAAAGTCTTTTCCAGCGGATGTTGACGGTTTATTTTGCAAATCATAAGGTACTGCTGGACCGTAAATATCGCTGCTGTCCTCTTCATCTTCATTCTAAAGTTAGACCTTGATTACACGATGTAAAAAAATGATATTATACAATTCGAAAGCAGAGAAACAAAAAAGACATACTCCTAAATTGGCAACTGTTGGAAGCAGATCTGGCATTGACGGACCAATTACTCTTTTCGACGGGTAGTCTACACTTGAAGAATGAGTTTCTCCAGGTTCCGGAGGAGGCAATAAAAAATTTTCTGTAAAAAGAAACCGAATACCAAGTGGAACATACACTATTGGATATATCATTATGCCAAATTGCTTATCACAAAGCGAAAATGGTCAAGAATAAGCTTGTACTAATCAAGACAATAATGGAGGCAAATAAAAATATTCCCCTTGAAATATCATAATTGGTATTTTCAAATTTAAGACCCATTTTTTACAAAGAATGAAAATTACCTCGCGAACGTTTTGTTTCTTCTTCGGGAAGTGAAGGTGCGAATATTTCCGATGAGTTTAGCACGGTTGGACCAAAAGACGAAGATTGAGAGGATGAAGACGGAATACTGTTTGACATTGAAAATTGCACTGCAAAATTCGTAAACAAAATCTAGCAAGATTTAGAATACATATCTACTGATTGGAACATGTGTTGGAAATCGTTATTTAATAAAAATGAGGTAAATAATGACAAAATATTTATCAATGTGTTAGCTGCATTTTATATTTTACTTACGAAAGGAGCACATATTTGGCATTGCAGACTGAGAATCGCCTTCATCGGGGTCTTCTGGATCTCCAGGATCTTCTGGATCGTCTTCTTCGCTGCTATTCGTAAGTCCAGGAGGTAAAGAAGGTCCTAAAAAGACTAACTTCAGGAATGACTTAGTGTAAACTTATTTCTTATCGGAACAACCGAAAGAAATGGTAATATGTCCAAACAGCTAAAGAATTTGTTGTAACATTTCTGTTATAAAGACTCATCACATTATACAAACAATATATGTAACGTTTTCTATATCTAAGACGATGAATGTGTTGTCTAAGGCCAATCGATAAAAATATCTTTTCCTTTGATATTGAGATTTATGGCAATTTTCTCTTCTTACAAACAAATCTAATCTTTTGTGTGTTTCCCGTATCAGTGAAATTATTGTCGGCTTTGTAAGAACCTTAAATGGAGCTATTATCTTATCTTAAGTCCAACCCACTTGGGGCAATATAAAAACCACAATAAACGCATTCTATCATGCAATGATTCGATCGTTCAAAAATATCTCTTCTCCGTCGAAGACCAAAAACGCCTGCTTCTTCTCGTACAAAACGCCTGCTTCGTCTCGCACAACTTGACGTTTGACTGACGGTTTAAATAAATTGTAACTTTCAATTCCACCACCTAATTTTACTATGAAATAACATTGTTATTATAATTGCTATTCTCCTACTACTGAATAAATCCTTTTTCTTGCCATCCAACACATATAAACAAAAACTTGCATGACATTTCCTATTTCAAGGCTTCAGTTCATATTAGAAAAAGATATGAACCGTATAGTTGTTGATTAGAGGATGATGTGTTGCCAAGTTCGCTCACACTGTTTGGTAACTGATCGAGATATGATAGTGAGTTACTGCTCTTAGTAAGACGTACTTCATCCATATTCACTTGAATTTGTCTTGCTGTTGCATAAAATCCTTAAAATGAGCAACTTTGGGTAGTGAACACATAAACAGAAACCAGAGGTGCAGTTTAAACTAACCTGGTGGCGCAATAAGATCAAAGTTCCTCGAACGACAATCTTGTTCATCAGTTTCATGATCTGAACTACTGTTATAATCTAGCTCTTCTGAACGATCAAATTCATCCCATGATGGCCCCTGCATCGTACAGTCTGATGGCAAACGAGGCGATGACATACTCTAAAAAAAAAAAAAAAATTCTAATATTCACGCTGAACGACTCTCGAAGTCGCTAACGATTGTAGTAATCACAGCGGGAATAGTTTATTACGTCTTAGCCAATGATTTTCAATTTCGTCAAGTTCCCAATTAATTTTGACTTGCGCATTAAAAAATTCTAATATGTATGTAAGGGATGAAAACAAGAATTACTGTTATTGCACTGTATATGAGGAAATAAAAAATAGGGAAAGATGAAAAAAAAAAATGAAGCGATGCGAAATACAGCATACAAAAGTAACGGAGTACAAGTAATACTGTTATAACGGAAGCATGAGTCGAAAATCAGCTGAAGAAAACGTCGGTAACGTTAACAAGTGATGAAAAGCGACAAGATCCACCCGTAATCTCAGCTACACCTATCTAAAAGCTTACTTCCCAATATAAAGGGATATCACCGGAAGAAAAATTTTAATGAAGCGAAGTGCAACAGAAAGGGCGAAATTAGTATTTACTTTGAATACTTACTATAGGCTTTGCATGATAATAAGAATGAGAACTGATGGGTGAGAAAATGATGGCGCACAAATTTTCCGATCAACCTAACTCCCAACCTGTGTCCAACCTGTGTAGCGTACTTGTGCTATCGCAACAAAATTTATGATTTAAAATAAGTGTTCTCCTGCGACGCATTTCGAATCATAGATTGAAAATAGTATATTTTCGAAAGCTGCCAAACATAACATATATTCGGGAGTTCATGGATTAAACAGAAAAGAGAAGGAAATGTTGTATCACAGAGAATTTAAGAAAATTAGTGGAAAATTAGTAATGAAAATTAGTAATGTGTTGCAAGTAAGCGAGAAAATATTGTACACCGATCTGCGCACTGAGATTTTAAAGAGATTTCAGACAATCATAAGAATGAATGATAACAATCAGCTGATATATAGAAAGGATTAAGGTACCACCGCCAACTTCTACTTTATCAATGCCTAGGAAGGAAAGAAAGGTCGAGTTTTGCTCATTCCTTTAACGTTACTCAACTACCTTTGCACCTACAAATCCATCAAACATTCTAAGGAATCATCTTTTTTGCAGTCCTCATTGACGCAGAAGGTGCAATTCTCCGAGATCATGTTCATCCGAAATTTCCATTGTATACGTCCACTGTTTCAGCATTTCGATGAATCCGTTACTTTCGTAACTCAACATTCTAATCCCAAAGGTTCAATATTATTTTGCTAGCGCACTTTTCCATTAAAAAATAATATTAGACTTTAGAGCTGGAACACCTCAACTGTGGAAGAGAATAGACTATGCATAAGTACGTGGATGTGTATACGGATGGTGTTGGATGCCTCCGATAATCAATGATCTGTTACGATCTGAAGACATTCTAATTCAAATTTATGACTAATTAACAAAGGAAACAGTAAGAAAGTATGGCGACACGAAATTCCAGAACAAATATGCTACATAATCAAGTACGTCGGAAAATACAAGATTTCCCAGCACGGAAATCGTCCCGCACTGTTCTTCCAGTAACTCTAATGGCCGTATAGGACGACCAGTGAACTCAGTGCAACATGGTGTATCCCACAAAGGATGTTCACAATATTGCTTGATTTCTGGCCATTTTGTGCAAACTGTTTGGGAAATTTGACAAATTTCTTCTTCTTTGATGTACAATTCACAAATTTCTCAAGATTTGACTGTTTACTTCAATATTTCTGATGACTTTTAGGTAAGATCAAACGACAGAGTTGGGATTATTTGACTTGCACAACTAAAATTTCTCCGAAATTCTTTATTATACTGAAATGTTCTAGTAATTGATTTTCAAAATTTTAGTTGCAAAATTTCGATTTCGAGTTTTATTATTACCGCCAATGATATGAGTCATTTAGATATAGTAGCCATAGTTTGTAGAAGTATTAAAGTGTTTGGCAAACATTTTTTGAATGATGAACTTGAAAACCAGTCTTTTCTCTTTGCGTATGCCATTATCAAATAGCTTATGATTGTAGCTTTCGTTTTGACGAAACAACAATCAAAACAGAAAAGAAAAAAATTTGGTAAATGGAAGATAGAAAAAGAGAAATACTGTGAATAAAGAGTAAGTAGCAGACAATTTAATTTAAAAATTGTTTACTACTGATGACAAATCATTGCTTCACTTCTTGCCTCGCACTGAGACAAGCAGAAAATGATAGATCCGTCCCATCTGTCTCTTATATTTCTTTCTTTTTAGGTGCTCCCTGAGAGAGAGATTCCTGTTGACATTCTTGATGGTACCGTACAGCATAATCTGATGCATATAGATATCACCTCTTTTCCCTTAACACCTAACTCGATCGCTGACCTTCATTTCTTGCCGAATGGCTCTTTCTTTGCTGCCTTACATAGTTTCTTAATTAAATCATTATCTCCCCATCCTTTTTTCATTGTAATTTTTCAAATAAGTTGCAGTTAGGGATTTCACCGTTTAAAACATGGTACCATGATATATCTGTCGTATGAAACATTAAATTCCTTACATACCATCGATGCGGGACGAATGCGCTTCCAAAAGACCATTTTTTTATGTGTACTTTGCACATGTGTACTATGTCTTTATGTGTACTTTGCACACAGAATGAAGTTTGCTTCTGCGGTGATAACACTAACCGTATCTGTTGCACGAATTCAGAAAATAAATTCTTTTCAGCAGGCAACTGCTTGAGAAATTGATGTAGATTGCAGAAGAGTGATGTCGCTGTACGATGAAGATCACTGCAGTTTTGAAATATCTAGGTAATGGCAACTAACTTCCAGTCAGCTTTTTTGTTCGAATTTTCAAATATTAAATGTGGCTTGAATATTTTTTTGTTGTTCGGATTTAGATGAAATTTAAAAAGCTGCTGTTGATGCTCTACTAACACAGTTAACTTGAGAGTTATTGGGAGTGCTACTGTTTAAAGTTTACTTTCCCTCATTTTATCATTCTTATAGAGATCGCTTCAAGCTGGATGCGATTTCATTGAATAAACCACCAGAAGAAGTATTCGACGTCGTCGGGAAACTTGGCGAAGGGTTTGATTTTATATCTGCGGACTGTTTTTTTTAAAGTCTCTCATAGTTGCTTGTTGGAGAATACTGTTCATTTCGTACATTCAGCTTTTTAATTCTCCACCATGACCTTTTATATTCGATTTAAATTTTCAGGTGAAGTGATTAACAAGAAAACTCTTTAAGAGTTATTAGTTTCTATATTTTAAAGAGATATTGTCATATGTCTATAAATCTTCAATAACCTAAAAATAACATCTGCAGGAGAAGCATAAATTAAACCTTAAGTGGATAATTGGTTGATTAGTTTAGTAAAAGAGCTGTGCAATTTATAAAACGTTGAGTCCTTTGGGTGTTTGGCCATTTCATTTCAGCTATAGCAGAATCTTAAATTTATGTTCAAAATACATATGTGGAGGAAGTACCTGCTAAATGTTTTTATCGGTTTTGCAGAAGTTTTTCAGGTCGTACGGATCGGTGCACAAAGCAATTCATAAGCAAACCGGCCATGTGCTTGCAGTCAAGAAAGTACCTGTGGATACGGATTTACAGGAAATAATCAAAGAAATTAGCATAATGCAGCAATGCGACAGTAAATATGTCGTTAAATACTATGGTTCATACTTCAAAAACTCCGACCTTTGGGTGAATACTTTTCATTTTGCGTATATGTATTTGGTTGCTAATAAAATCCTAGAACGTTATTCATCAAAATTATTAGTGTAAGTGAAGAAATCTAACTGTTTGTCTGAGGTGATTGTTAATATTGAATAATATTTTTTAGTCCATGGATTTTAGCTTATGGATTTTTGTATGGACATTGCCGAAGAATTTTTAGGGGTCGATAACCCATAACGTTTAAGATTTCACACTTTTAAGATTGTTATGGAATACTGTGGTGCTGGTTCAGTTTCTGATATTATGAGAATTCGTAAAAAAACACTAAATGAAGCAGAAATTGGTGCTGTTACTAGGTGAGTAAGTTATAATCCTATTAGTTTTTCTGTAATTAATTGTAATAAAACTTTTTTAATGATTTCCGAGAAGTCTTTATTTATCTTCAGGGATGTTCTGAAAGGTTTACGTTACTTGCACGATTTAAAGAAGATCCATCGAGATATCAAGGCTGGCAACATATTGCTCAATGCGGAAGGTCATGGAAAACTAGCAGACTTTGGTGTCGCTGGCCAGTTAACGGTATAACAGTAATTCATCCATGTGATAAATTCTAAAAAAATTCTTTTTTTCAAGTACTGAACTAAGAAATTTCAATTTACACTGTCTCTTTGCAGGATACTATGGCTAAAAGGAACACCGTTATTGGAACACCATTTTGGATGGCACCAGAAGTGATTCAAGAAATTGGTTATGATACAAAAGCTGACATTTGGTCACTCGGGATTACTGCTATGGAAATGGCTGAAGGTCGTCCGCCTCATGCTGATATCCATCCAATGAGGGTTTGTACTACGTGCTTCAAGGTGTAAATTTCACTGTGAATTACTTCTGTGGTTGCTAAGAGTTTACCAATCGAAAGTAAGAAAGACACTCCGTTAGAAAAACAAGTGATGGGAAATTATATTTCCTTAGATGCGAATCTCCTTTTCATAAACTTCAGGCCATTTTCATGATCCCAACAAAGCCACCACCAACATTGAAATGTGAAGGCGACTGGTCACAAGACTTTGTGGATTTTGTTGGTCAGTGTTTAGTCAAAAATCCTGATGAGAGAAAATCTGCTTATGATCTACTGGAGGTATGGAAATATGTTATGCCTCAAAGGTATCACTTAGAGAAAGGCTTAGTTTATAAATCCTTTGGCAAATGTTAGAGAATTGGTGAAAAAGACAAAAGCACAGAAATTTACATTTCTGGCATTTTTGTTATTGTTTTACACCAATTGAACTGATGAATTATTATTTTTCTGTAGTTATTCTTTGAAAGGGAGTCTGGAATCTCGTTGCTAATAATTGATTTGATTGCTGGATATTATGCTGGAAAATATTTTCTATGTAATTCTTATGAATGTTCAATCTTTATTAAGCATCCATTTGTGGTTAATGCATCGCCATCAACCGTTTTGTTGAACATGATTGACGAAGCTCGGGGTATTGCTAATTTTGCTGCTCAAGAAATTCAGGTAGTTTTAGCATCAAAATTTCTTAATCTTATTCTTTGAGCAAAGTTTTTCATCTTTTGGTTAATTCAGGAACGTACCCTCGAAAGCGCAAGTGATTCCACTCTAATACAGGAAAGAACACATGGCGATGAATCCAATGAAATGGAAGATATGACACTTATACGGCATGATATTCCGTCAACGCCAACCAATGGTATACATACTACATCGTTTTTTGCCATTTTGGAAACTAGAAATCTTAGATGATTTGTGTGCACTTTGATGCCAGTTTCATTTTATTTGAGTTCATAAGTTTTCTTCATCGCGTTATTCTTCTTTAACGAGGACTTAAAGTTAAGCGGAAGTTGATCGAAATCCAAAAATGTTCTGTTTTGTTTGGATTTATATTTTAGTCGAACTTCAGGTGATCCTTACAAAATGATGCCTTCAAAAACAATCACTCAGCAGATAAATTCAGTGCGACTGCCTGGAGTTCGTCCTCCAGGTGACACAGGTTATGTACATAACCTGCAGCAAGCAAATGCAATAGCTGAGGGAGGTATATTTTGCACTAAAAAAATTGTTTCTTGAATTAGGTGTCAGCTCGTTGACATACTGAATTGTTTTCGAATGTCGCACAGACTCTTTTTTTAACTCATTGATAGTTTGGAAAATAAACGAGGTTTAATATTCGGTACTATTCATGCTATTGCAGGAAAACCATTGGAATTGCCTAGTCATAAGATGCTATATGTAAATCAGAAAACGGAGGAGCAAAAGCATGATCAGATAAATCCAGTGAATGATGGTGTCCATTATGGTGATGCAAATATCATGAATGGTATTGGTATGCCGCAAACATTGTTCAGCACCGATTCATCTCACGATACTTCGTATATTGATCAACATTTTAACAAAGCATACGTGGATGGCGATTACAGTTTTGTTAGTGATTATTAAATCTTGAAGGCAAAAAACAGTAAGTCAAATACATTAAAGTATAGCATAAAGGGCCTCGTGGTGTGACATATTTTTAATTTTTGGAAAAATTCCCGGTATGGTGTTCAGAACCAGTGATAATAAATGAAGCTGCAAATTTTTGAAATTCCTTGATTATAATTTTCGAAGCCTGTAAAAAGTTCGGTTTTGCCTCAAAAACTCGAAAGGTCCAAATAATTGGAAATGGTTGAAATGTTTTTAATCCACTCGTTGTTCTGGTACCATCACATGACATGTTGTACATGTCATATGATGCTGCTGGAGCAAGTCATCTTTCTGTTCTCAATGTCCTAACAAATCGATTCAAAAAATAAATTTCGTTTTTGGAATATTTTCATTTTTCAATATCTTTATCTTTTGAATAGTCCCACTTCTATAGGAAGGTTTTAGCTAGCTGAACTTCCACTGGAAGAATTAATGCGAAGAAAAGCAAATCTAGAAGCTGACATGGATGTGGAATTACGCGAGTTGCAAGCGCGCTACCAAACCAAAAGGCAGCCAATTTTGGATGCAATTGAAAATAAAAAGGCTAAAATAACTCAGTACTGATACTAGTGAGATATTTTATTTGCATTTTAGACTGGTTGTTGCGATTTTCATTCTCCATAAGTGCTTTGCTTTTTGGTCTTGTCATAATATTCCAGGTTTGTCTTTGTAGCTTCTTTTTTTGTAGTCTAATATTTTATTCGCAAAATATTGTAATATAGTAGCATATTTTTCTATTTATCACTAGCTCAAAGTTCAGTGTTATTTATTGACTCATATATAATTAGTGTATATTTATTTAGTTGGAACTGAGGTCTGATATGAAGATGGAGCATGAAAAACAAGTGGAATGTTTCATATCCTATCATGCGAGCTCAAAACAATTAAGTTTAGACTGAGATTTGATTAATAGTCGTTCAAGTTTTGGGTTCATCTCTTTTAGTTGCTTTATCTCTTTCTTTTAACTATCGGGCTTCGAAATAAAGTATAATATTATGATGTCACTTTTTTGTGCGACCGTTTTGGCAATTCTTTCTTTTAGCATCCAGTGAACTGAGGAATGGGCAAGGGGGAACATAAATTAAGATAAAGGATTTATTTTTCCACAGTAAATTTCCCTGCTCTAAAGGTTATTTTTGCAGCTTTTGTTGTTTCATCTTGGCTAATTCTAAATTTGAAAAGCTGGGGCATGTCTGACATACTACGAAGCTCTAACTTTTAAGTTAGAGCTTTGAAGTTTTTACCAAGGAATCGTGTAAGAGAGTTTAACAAATTATAAAATATTATTTTTATATCAAACTATTTTTATGTTACGCTAGAGTTAAACCCTTCCTGACATGTTTGTAAAAGCTTGTTTTTATAAGGATGTACAATCCATTAATTTATATTATGTTATTTCGCTTTCCTCTTTCGATAAACGACTCCAAATTATTTCATTTTTTAAAATGTTTGTATAATTAGGAATGAGACATATTTTGTTCTGCCTTTTTTTCACTGTTATTTAGCATTTGTTTATGTACATTTTCGGTTTGTTTTTTCATTTCTGAAATTGATTCTAATACATGAATACATTGTGTCCAATCTTTTCCTCTGTATTTTGCATCTTTCATTCCACCTGTCTTCCGTGTTTATTTGTCTTTTTGATCTTTCGTAGATTTCTTTCATCAAATGAATAGTTTCTTTTTCTTGAATTTTTTTTTTCCAGTGTTTTAAATCTTTATCCTTTCTATATGATCATACTCTGGACACAATTAGAGATAATTGAACATGTCGAAATAAACGAATAATTGCTATGCGCGAAAAGAAAGTGCAGTTGTGCACTGATTAGTTTCATTATAACTTTTGGAACTGCATTAATTTCCGGATGTTATAAGGAAAATCTGTGAATTATAAGTTCTGAATACTTATTCTGGATGTGATTTGCTCTAGATTTTCCAGACCTGGCTGATTTACACGCTATCTACAAGCTATTCCATGCTGTGTAAGAAAAGGTTTAGATAACAATATATGGCATAAATACGGATTTATTCAGGAATAGTTTTCTAATCTTATTTCTTTAATCTTTTCTGGAACTCTCTCCTCACTTTTTGTTGAGGCTATGATTGTTGCTTAATTTTGTTCACTTGGGAATATTTTTGTCATATTCTTTGTTTCCTTTCTGTGATTTCGTTCATAAAAGGTGCATCCAGAAATCTCGATAGAAAGTCGGTTTTACGCTTCGGATTTATTCTCAGTGTTATATCAAAATTTGCCATGAAGTCAGGGTGAAGATAGAGAAAAGTAGTGCAAGATTTAAACTGGCTAGAATAAGTTCTGCTTCTTATGATTCACCTCACTAAGCGGTTTCCGCATCAGGAATAACATAATATTTATATTTACAAAAGAAATGTGAAAATGAGAAAAAAATGAGATTGGATGGAAAAAGCTTTAGTGATTAATAATTTTAGTCAATTACATCTATGGAAGAGGAGGATAAACCTGTTTTTGTTGGGTGTTTGGTATCGTGCATATATGATTCATTAAAACTATGCGAAGAAGAGAGTTTTGTGCTGAGTGGATTTTTTTTTTTTTTATTTTTGATTCGAATCTCAGCAATTCAAGTCCATGCTTCGGGCCAGATATCTGATACAAATATTTCTCTGTTACTATACTTATCAAATGAAGGTTTTTCTTGCTCGGATCCAATTGGAGCGTAGTAGATCTTGGAAATTCCGCAATCTGATGGACAGTATTCGGCAGGTTTACCTGAAATTAAATGAGCAGGTGGACTTAATTGTTGGTAATTTGTAATTCGTAACTTTTGACAATTTAGAGCATTTGTTTGTCGTTAAAAATACTGATAAAAGATAAACAGGAATAAGTAATGTGGTATTGCAATGTATTCATATTTCGTTTACCTGGTTCACCGGATGGTCCCCATGATCCTTCGTCCCCTCTATGCCCTGGATTACCGTAAGAACCAACGCGACCAGGGCTACCTGGATTACCGGGTTTACCAAACAGTTTGGAGGGTTTTCCCGGTATACCCATCGGGCCCTTAGGGCCCATCAAACCTGTTGGCCCTTTCGCACCTTTAATTCCACTTCCTGAAGTGCATATTTTACGGTCAAATTGATTAATAATCGATTATCATTGAAATGCGTAAAAGATGTATAGTACTGCAAAAAAGTTTCCGAACCTGCGATGATTGAATCGCCTACTGGTCCTTGAGGTCCTCGTATCCCTTGCTTCCCACGCATTCCTTCATTCCCCATCCTGCCGGGATAACCTTTCATCCCAGGCCTTCCATGTTCTCCAATTGCACCTTTCAATCCTGGTTCACCTCTTCGTCCTCGTTCACCTTGTGAACCTCTGAAGTGAAATGTTAAACTTGTTATTTTAATTATCAGCTGGAAAGTGATTAGAAATTTTTTACGAGTTAGAGTTTAGTTACCGTTGTCCCGGTGGACCAGTGGGACAAAGAACACATGGAAGATCAGGTTCCGGTTCTAGTTGTATATCATAACCGTCCAGGCCTGGTTTCCCGTGTTTTCCCGCATCACCAGGAAAACCATCCAATCCTGAAGGACCTGGTGGTCCAGGTGGTCCATACGGACATGCCAACGAATAACATCCTGAATATTCTATTTTGTAATAACATAAGTAATAACAGTTCAATAATTCTCTAAATGAGAGCTTTAAAAAGAAAACCTGCCTCCGCATGTTTCACCATGCCAAAATGACCGCATAGTCCGATGATACGGCAGTTTTTTACGAAATCTTGGTGCATTGATATTCTTCAGGTTTAACCATATCTCGTTCGCCCTTTTCTAATTTCTAATCATTAATCACTGACCAAGTTTATTCAATCCAATAACAAATTAAAAATGAGGCAAATTTAAATAAACCAACATAGATGTGGAAATCAGTATGTCGTATTCCTTATTACTGTAACTGTTTATTACTAAAATCCAGAAGAATTAACCTGAAATTTTTTGACCAACACTTGTGTCTCCGTTGTTTCATTTGCAATTTTAGCTGTGAATATTGGAATAAAAAAAGTGATGGAAACAATGGTTAGAGTACTTGTCACGACATTTCCGATAGCAACGAAACGAAATAAATCATCATCATGCATTGTGACCTTTCGGAAAAAAAAATTGAAAATCCACTGGTAAACTTTTTCCCTGAAGGTAATACTAGAAGTTAACATAATATCGGAATTCAGAATTGAATTACTGAAGTGAAAGAGGGATCAATGTGAACACATCACGAAATTTGTTTCACTTAAAAGGAATTAGCCTTTTTTGGTTCATTATTAGATACTGGATGCACTGTTGTAATCACTTGAATATCGTTTAAAATGATGGATTAAAATGTAGTGTAAAGCTTAGCGCATCTTAAATAATGTCGCCGCTAATGAGATGACATCCGATGATAGCAATCGCTAAGAAGGAGATTTATTTTTATCATTTTAGGAATAAACGCATCCCTCAAACTGAAGAGTTCCATGGAAATTGCTTTGAATTCCTGCTAATTCTCTTTAATGCCATAAGCTCGGGTCATTCGAAACAGTTGTTCTCTCTTAAATTGGAATTTCATGCGGGATTAGACTCATGCCAAACACCTAACTCAACCATCTCTCCTTAGTCGGTAGCATTCAGTGATGCTCCCGTTGCTTCTCAAGAAAAAATAAAGTTTGGTGAAGGAAGGGATCTTCATGTCCAATGAAGACTTTATCGTTGGGCGGTGTTAAGCAAAAAGCAGACTTAGTTCATTTCCAGTTGACCGAAATACTCCTTTTTATTAATTGGGTCAGTCTTTATCGAGCAATTTCCCATTTCTTTCCAAATTTACTATTTTATTAGTGTAGTTTAGTGTCCTTGACATTGGCGACGAGAAAAAAGGTTGGAATGAGTAACGAATCAAAAATTTAAATGTACTGATTTTTGCTACAGTGGCAAATTCCAACAAACAAAAAATGGGTAGAACCGATAACATTCTGAAGATATTATAGGTCTAAAAAGCTTTGAAACAGATACTATTCAAGTTTTAAAAATAATTTTTATTCCAATGTAGAAGGATTTAACAAATGTTTGACAATATGAATTTTTTTGATCATTATAAATCATTTGGGTTTTATCATTTTAATTGTCTCTTGTCCATTTATCATTCCAACGAAGTTAATAAACTTTCTGACAATGTGTCAATGATTTAGTTGGAATTTGAAGCTTCACAATGAAAAGCGAGAAATTTAAAATTTGAAAATAACGAATTTGAACTTTAAAAGCGTCAGGAAAAAATACTGGTTTTCAGAAAGAATTTAGGCAAATTTTTTAGCTCTTCTTATGAACAACTTTCAAATTTATCCGAAGCTATTCTTTTTTACAACTTTTTTATTTGGATTCCTTTCATTTTTTTTTTTAAATTTAGGAACTGAAATGCAGTGATCTTTTTTGTGCTACTCCACCAGAAATAGCAAACTTCTTAATTTATTGTTTTCCAGAAAAGTCATTCAGGTCAACATGTTTCCTCTCGCATAATTAATCATTCGCATCAACAAATTAAATTTACATTAACATAACAGCGATTAAGCTATTATTTGCCGGATGGTAAGTAATGAGTTTTTCGGGGCTGTAAAAATAATTAACGGTGAAATTGTGATTTCAAGATCGAATTCGCATTTCTTCCAAATATTTTTTTTTTAGTTTACCCATTTTCAAATAATCTTTTGAAAAATAATATTTACGGCACATGTGAAATTTCTTTAGTTTCTAGATGAATTTGAACATGAAAATTGCTTTGAGGTTCTTGTTCCTGCATTCTTGAATATGAGGACAAACTGATCCATTCCAATGAACTGTTTTTAAGTGTCAAAAGAACTTTGTAGATCAAATTATATATATATATATATATATATATATATATATATATATATATATATATATATATA